GTCCCACGTCTACCCCATGCCCCCTCCCTCCAAGCTGCCAGGCTGTGCTCCTCACTGCCTGCATGCTGTGCGCACACACAAGCATTTATCAGCCAAATTATCAGTCCTTTCAGGCCGATTTCCAATAGTCAATTTTTTTATATTGGTACTCATCTGATATCAGGCTGATGTATTGGTGCACCTCTAGTATCCATAGACTAAGAGGAAAACAGGATGCAGCCTAATGACTCATCAATTAAGCTATTAGCTGCTCATTCACAGGTGCTCCCTCCCTCCCTCCCAGGAGGGCTTTAGTGGATTGTGTTGTCTAGGTGGGCTTGCCTCCCCCACCCCACCCCACCAATGACTCTGAGCTACTGTGCTATTTGTAAATCGTTTAACCGATATAATTAGAGGAGGTTAAACTAATTTTTTTTTAAAAAATATTTACATCTTTAGGGATGTGAATGGTCAAACATTTAATGATAAGTATATTCATACTAGTAATGCATTACCAATTAACATTCAGTGCACAGTGAAGGCTGGTGGGATGGGAAGCAGTGTGGTGCATCAGGAGCAGGAAAGCAGCAGAAGCAAGGAGAGGAGGGGGAGAGACAAGGTAGGGGGGGACCACTAGTACCCATAATTGGATTCTTATCTTGCTGGGATCCTATGACCCCAGCTGACTTCCTGCCCTTCAGATGGGGGACTGGACTTGATCTTCCAAGGTCTCTTCCAGCCCTAATGTCTACGAAATCTATAACTTGTAACAGGGGTAGGCAACATTTTCTCGCCAGAATGCTGAAAAAACGACAATGTGTACCTTGGAAGGTGCCAGAGTGCCAACATGCTAGAGCCCGAAGCAGCTGTTTACCCCCAGCTGCCTCCCAGCTGCAGGTGGCGAAAGAAGCCCAGTCTGTTTGCAGCAGGGCTTGCAGCCTCCCAGTTGCTGGCTGGGAGCAGCCTGGGCTTTGTGGCTGGCAGCAGCTGCTTAGAGCTCAGGCTGGTAGTGGTCTGTTGAGCAAAATAGCCTTGGGTGCCATGCTCAGCACACATGCCAGGGGTTGCTGACCCCTGACTTAGAAGGTTAAAATCAAAAACAGTGGGCAGCCTAATCACTTGTCTATTAAGCAGTTAGCTGCTCATTTACAGGTGCTGGGAAGCCAGCTGGTGGGAGGTAACAGGCTAGTTAATTGCCTGCCCCAGAGGCTACAATAGGCTGGAAAAGCCTCTCACCTACTGCTACCACCTGTGGCTTCAGTGGGCTGCTGTCTGGCAGGGATTGCTAAGCAGGTGCCTTGCAAGACACCCCAAGCCTTATGGACTAGACTTGTGGCTCCAAGACCACCCCTTTACCACACCCCATGCCACACAGATGGTATTTAGATGTTGTTTCTAGTGATGAGGCCTGCCAGAAAACTGACTGCCTCCAGCCCCAGCCATGGGGCTTGTGTGCGCCCGGGGCCCTGCCTTCTGGTCAGCTGACCAGGTGCAGGTACAGGATAATTCCCTCATTAGGCTGCTGCTAGGGCACCCTACACCTGTGGGGTTTCTGCCTGGCCCCTAGGGCCCTCTCTCTAAGCAGTTTCTGCCCTTAAAGGAGCAGGCACACCTTAGTGCCCTGTGACAACCCTCTAGCCAGGACTAGGCATGTGTTACTAGTTAACCATTTAACCTATATAATTAGAAGAGGTTAAACAATGTTTAAAGTGATATTTACATCCCTGACCCCAGGTAAGATTTTTTTTTTTTATCATCCTTTTTCTATAATTGGCTGCCCAGCTTCCAATTCCCATAAGGATACTTATATCTACATTAATTAGAATGTGTTTTGCAAGTAGAATTTCATGCACTACTTAATCAGTAAGATATATTTTTAGATTTTGTAAAGCAATCTACCATATCTCCTTCTACTAATTCTATAACTATCAAAAAAGCACTTTGGCAAGATTTTTTAAGTAATTCCCTGCTGCCTGTTATGAACTTCTAGAAGTTTAATTATTTTTAATATTAATATTTGTACATGTATGTTAGTAGGTTTGGAAGTCAAAATTAGAAAGTAATTGTCAGGCTAATGTTTCCACCACTATTAATTTCTACAGGTCAATATGTGGGTTTTTTTAAATAACTTGTTTGCTATACTTATTTGTCTTTAGCACCTTATAATATACTATTCTCTGCAACTTGTATCTGTACAGGGCATAGGTGATAGCTGTGTTGGTCTAAGGACATAGGCAGACAAAGTTCTTTGGGTAAATAGGATATCTTCTATGAGACCAACTTGGTCTAATAAAAGACATCAAATTTACCCAAAGAACCTTGTCTACTTTTATCTGTATACATTGAAGTAGTTCAAAACACCTCCTTAACATGCTTTATCAATAGCTATTTTTAGAAAGCCTACACTCATTGCTTTCTGATTTATATTTATGTTGCACAAATTTCTGAACAGGAACTAACATCTTTAACTTCCTAATATTACCCGTTTTCCAAGGAAATACTGGTAAATGCATGCTACACTTTTTTCGATGCTTAATTTGCATCAGCTTGTTTTGTTTTCTTGCTGTGCTCCTATCAACACTGACTGTAAGCCTTACCTGACCGGATAGTCTTGTTTTGTTACGTCCTCATTTTTCATTACCAGAACAGGATCCTTTTTTATCTTCTGATCTTTCTAAAGCCATAATGGTCACTTTTTGCTCCTTGCATGAGACTTGCTAGCAAACTGTAGTCATGTTTTGTTTAAGCCTTGCTCTGGTCTGAGTATTCAGACACACACTTTCCCACCAACATAATCTGTCACATTAGGATATACTGTCTAGCACATATCTATGTTAAAATTCCATCTATGAAGTTTCTCTCAACAGGTTTCATTTATACCCGATAACTGAATTCACAGCCTTTTGGATTATTTCATGTTTTTACTGCTTTTCAGTCTATGAATTTGGGTCCAGACAATTTCACGCACACTACGTTTACTCACTTTGTTTCAGATTAACTCCATCTTGTAATTTCCTTTGAAAGTTGGAAGTACGTATGACAGTTTTAAGTGAAGATTCCTCTTCTGTCCCTTAGGTTTAGAGATGATCTGCACGAAAGAGAAAAGAAAACACCAAAAACAAAAATGGGATCATTCCATTTCTAGTTCATTATGACAAAAACGCCTGAAAGTCTCTCTTATAAATTTAGGTAGGAGGCTTCCTAACTTTTCTTTCTTTTGTATAGAACTCATGTTTGACCTGGTCTGAAACATTCTGAGGCTTCCACAGATCAAGTAAATTGTTGATATAGCACACGAAGGAAAATTAAGTAGTTTTAATTAGATTAAAACTTGATATTTTCTAAATTTATAGCTATTTAATTTCAAATGACTGTTGTATGTTGCAGACCCAGTACCAAAAGGGAACCAACGTATTTGTGGGGTTTAGGAGCAAGAGAAGTATAATGAAGACAGGTTGCCTACCTCAAGTAAATGGCTTTGAGATGTTCTGTGCATGTGGTCTTCTGCACGAGGCTTTGCAATATCTTTACCAGCAGTATTCATTAGGGCCTGTGTATGCCCTCCACCCTCCTAAGGGCAAAAGGCCCACATTTTTTTTTTTTTAAACTGCAAGTCTGAGGTTGGCTGGCTAATAACTTAAAATCTCTCAGGCAGACAAAAGGCCTGTGTCATATGACATTAAGATGGACTGGATGAATATGATGGACTGAGATGAAGTTAACATGGACTTGGCCAGTTTTCAGATCTGACAGAACAAAATATCTTCTGAATCAACTGGTATCTGTCGCATTCTTTTCCAAATTAGCTGGGCAACAAGATATAAATGGGAACCACCCTCAAACACCCATCTTGAATCACCTGCAAGACCCAGGCTACACTTCCCTGAAAGACAAAATGCAGGAACTAAATTGAGAGGGAAGGATATAAAACTGGATCAACTAGTTCAGCTAACTCAACTATCTTAAACTGAGGGCTCTGACCCAGGTCTTGGTTGAGAAGCACCAGCAGAGAATGAAGATGGCTGCTTCTTCTGAACCTTGACCTTCTTCCTCAGAAAGCCTCATAAAAAGCAGCTTAGCTCTTTGTTTTAAAAAATGTGAAAGTTTGTAGTTTTCCCTTCTAAAAGATGAAATGCATATGGCCAAGGAAGAGAACTAGATAGTCTTTTAAAGAGTTAAACAATTATCAGTTTTTGTATTAACTATTGAACCATTTTACAAGGTACCCATATTAAAGGAATCCAGTTTTTCTTCCCTTTAAAAATATAATTTTGGACATACAGTGTGCACATTATAAGCCATCCCAAGCCTTTTTTTTTTTTTTTGGGGTGGGGAAGTCTCATACCTCAGTTCACCTTAGGTTTTGGAAAATGAAAGGAAATGTGACCTTTAAGATTTCTGCAAGTTCCAAAATCTCTTCATTGGTAGAAAGCATGCTCACATTTACAGTAATGATTAGACAACATTAAAAAAAAAAAATCTATAGAATTTCTTATAACCCAGCTTTAGTGAGAAGTACCTCTACATTTCAGAGTGAATGCTGCTTTCTCCCAAACAATAAAAGGTATCTTCTGCATCCATCACTCAAGGGAATTACCACTCTACAAGAAAGCCAATACTTAAATTCCAGGGATCTAGGCTCTGAGACACTGAGTACCAACTCTCTAAATCAAGGATGCCAAACATACGGCCTGTCACCAAATTCCCAACTAAAGAGTCTCCTGGCCATGGCTGTTGGTGGTGGGGTGGGGAAAGAGAGAGGGGACTGATAACTGTATTAACCCCCACGCTGTTGCTCATACCAATACTTGCTCCATTGATGTCAATGGAAGCAAGAGGGGAAAATGGGACATGAAACCATGCAGAGTCTTTAGCAGACACTGCTGGTGAAAATATTCCTAACTGCTGTCTAAAAGATGCATGTGGAGAGAAACTTAAAATAACTGTTAATTTTGATAACTTTGCAAAATTACTTTTTATTATGTATTAGTACCTCAGAAATTCCTGACAAATTTCAAAACAAGTCAAGGTGAAGTACAGAAAAGTACTGAAATGGCTAAGCTTTGTCTACATGGGAAAGTTTTACTTGTTTCATAGTAGCTAGGGTCAGGAGGGACCTGAACAGATCATCTAGCCTTACCCCCTGCCACAGGCAGGAATGAATGCGGTTTTGTACCAAAATAACAATATCCACACAAGGAATTACATTACCATATCTATAAGCTCTATAACTGATACAGTGTTTCCTATGTAGACAAGTTTTTCAGATCTTAAGTCACTTGGCCACTTTTGAAAATTTTGCCTTATACTATTTCATAATTAATATACAAATCACCAAGATTATTTATTGTATTTGATTTTAAGGGTCATAATAAATAACAAAGTGCAGAATTAACTATTTAAGCATGTTTCCCATCTCATCAAAAAAGCACAAAATTCTGTTAAATTGGTGCACATATCTCCTGTAGAAAACTGCGCCAAGTCTAGAATATTTTTACCAGCATTATTTTGCCTACACACTGAAAGGCAGATATTTCATGCCCACCCTTGACTGTGAATTTAATTGTTTTTGTCAGAATCGAGAATCTTTTTAATATAGCGCATGTGATGTATGAGTATTATTGAGTACATAGCACTAAGACTACATTCTTCCCCTGGACTGTCACAATAAGGAAAGAGTATATAACTTTGGTTAAAAATTCACTTATCACTTGGCAAACAGAAAAACAAGCTTTTATCTTCCATGAGTTGCATTTTACTTCAAACTTTTTCTCCCCCCCAAAGGGAGAGGGTAATGCACAGTACCGCTGTTCAGGTTGGAGGGATCAAATGAACCTGTTCGATTCTGAGGGATTAAGCTACTTTGTAGTTAATGGAAACAGATGATGTTCATTACTTCACAAAGAGCAATAAAGAGCCCAACCTCACGCGATCTACAAGAACAGCAAAGTGAAGTGACATTGAGAGCATTCCACATGGGCACAGAGTCACATCACAGGTCAAGGGCATGAACTGTTAGTTTAACTAGAGCCACCAATGAGGAAAACAATTACAATTATTACCCTGTCATGGTTTATTCAATGACTTAAAATAATTAGATTTTATTTGGTCCAATTTATTACATTTAACTTTTTAATAGAGTAACTTTCGGTTTTTACCTTAACTCGCCCCTCCCCCCAAAAAACCTCTTTTGGCAAAGCAGTCTCACTTATTTCATGGTGATATGAATGATAGTTTTAAAACATTTTAACATATTTGTTTAATTCAAAATATTTTAGCACAAAAAACTAAGCAGATGATACCTCTATCAGCAAATCAGAAACTGGATGTCAACTGTTCAAAATTCATTGCGTGTAAAGCGCTATAATGATTTTAAAATATTAATTCTTGATGTCAGATTTATCTGACAATTAACTAAGGAGTGCACCAATTATCTACATATACTGCATGCTGAAATTAAAAGTTCACTCTATACATTTGGATTATGAAAATATATCTTGTTTTGACTGGAAGGAAAATGACACATTACACATTAATGGTAATTATGAAGAACCATAAGAAAACGCATAGAACTTCCACTCACTTTTTAGTTTGCTGGAGATTTATAATATTCATAGTGCTTTCATACTGAAGGCCAGATTATTTTCCTAAATGCTGGCATTTTCCTCTCCTCTTCCTATTATTGAGCATTTTAGTTTTTCCTCAGGCAGCTTATACTGAAGACTGTTTTGCTGATGACAGTACATAGGTAAGAGACACAGGTGGAAGGAAACCCAACCCCTACTTTTGAAGGCATCCCATCTCTTAAGTCCCTGATTTGTTTAAACTTCTCCCTCTACTACTCTGATCTGGAAGAAAAAAAACCTGTCTCGACTCGAGATAAAATCTACTAAAGACAGAAGTTTGTAGTTGTCCCATGAATTATCAGATATGAAAATTACAAAATAAGAATTATAAGAATGTTACCTCAAGTCTAGAAAGTATCATTTTCTTAATGAAGACAAAACTAGAACCAAAGAGAAAGTAAGCCACCTCCAAATGTTTGTATCACTGCTTCAGTACATTTGGTCGTTTAATAGCATGCACATTCCAGGCTTTACAAGAATTCATTAAGTGAAAAAATAGCTGGCTTAGCTTATGTATACAAACATTCTTTTCCCATAGAAAATGTGAGCAAATAGGGATTTTACAAAGAGGATTTTTTGAAAATTAGGAATATGCACACCCCCCTAAAGATCTGACCATGGCAAATACATTCCTAATGGATATTTGCTGAAAAACCTCATCAGAGGTGACAGCCTACACAAGTCTTAGAAGGCAAGGTTTGAGCGCATACCTGAGTGGTATACCATCAAAGTAGGACTGAAAAACGCTGGCAGGATAGTACACAGAAGAATGTAGAGATAGTGCCAAGCTGTGCCAGTTCCATGCATAGTGGACTTCAGCCTCCACTATCACAAATCCACCATTTAAGTGATCAGATTAAAAGAAAATTTAAGCACAATGCTTGGAAAAATAGAGGCAAAATCAGTACTAGAAAAAGAGACCGGCTTTAGTATTTCTTAGATTTATTTGAACACAACTCATTAGGAGACAAGAAAACGAGACAATAATAAGCATTTCCTCCTACTGGAGTTTGCCAGTCAAAAAAATAAATAAATAAATAAAAAATATTGTGTTCCTATAAGAACTAGTAATAATATCATGAAATCTTTTGAGATTCATCCCAGAAATCATATAGTGCTTTTGCATTTAAGTCTTCTCATGCAATTAACAAAAATGAAACCATCAATACAAAAACACCTACATAAGAATATAACATTGTATTTCTCCGAAGAACACAAATGAGATAATCTACATAGGTGCCCTGCTAATGAAGTTGGACTGCGGCACCTGCTTTTTGTGCCCTGAAGAAGAGGGGTGCCCAAAAGTATATTGCTTGCCTCCTGGTATCTCCCTCACAGATCCCAGTGAGCTGTGAGAAAGGGCAAGGGCTTTCTATATGGTGATCTTCTTGCTGAATCTGACACTTACCAGGTCCTGTGGGAGGGACTGCCACAGGTCAGCAAGAGCAATCAGGACTAGCTA